AAATTTTAAAGTAAGGACCCATTTGGATTACTGCTTGGAAAGAGCTCTGCTACAGATGCTAGGAAAAGTGATTTCTGGGCTAGCCCGGGCCTCCACTCCTGACAGCCGTGCGTGCTAATGTCGCTGACTTTTACAGCAGCCTTGGGCGGCCTATCTGCATTTTTGCAAGACCGGCTGTGTCACAGAGCTGGAGATGAATCTGCAGCCTTTTAGTTCAGAGAGATTTAATCAGAGTGAATCAGTGAGCACATGACTGCAATGAAAGCAGCCTTTGCCAAGTGCGTGAGAGAGTGCGCTGTATGTCCCCCAATAAAGCATTGGTGCCAGCTATTGCCCCTCCTGCTGCGTTTATGGGGCAATTATTCAACTTTCTGTTTGGCTCAACTGCAAATTAAATGGGGAAATAGCTAATTTCTGGGATGCATTTCTGTTATCTAAAGCTGCAGAGCTGCCTTTAGATCATACGCTCCAACATTTCTCCAATAAAAAGAGAGGCGTTTCTATTCTACATCAGGAAGCTTCTCCTGTGTTAGATCTTGACAGACACATAGACGTATTGTACACATAGAAATCTGTCACCTTGAGCCAATTACAAGATCTCTGCCAATCCTACCTTACAGGATTGTTGTAAAGAAAGATGGTTGTGTGAGGGAAGGGATCACGTACAATACCTTACATAGATAAATGCAATGAAATAAAAATTTGGCTGTAAGTTTGGGCCCCTGCCAGAGGAAAAGGTATAATCGTAATAGTAGTAGGGAGAAGAGGAGGAGGAGCAGGAGGAGGAGGAGGAGGAGGAAGAGGAAGAGGAAGAGGAAGAGGAAGAGGAAGAGGAAGAAGAAGAAGAAGAAGAAGAAGAAGAAGAAGAAGAAGAAGAAACTGAGAGAATGAACTCGGTGGGACTTAGTTCTGTATAAAAATGCTTAGGATAGCAGTGTAAGACTTCACAGCCTTTACCCAGTTACCTAGGAGTAAGCACCATTGAATACAGTGTGACTTACTTCTGAGTAGACATATAAAGGCTTGCAGAGTAAAGCTCCATTTACAATAAAGGAATAAACACTTCACACATTTCCTTTTAAAAAAAATGACTGGCTGGTGAAGCATTGCAGTTAAAGAATTTAAGGTGTCTTGGTTACATTTTCCTTCAAAATTATAGGGAAGGCTTCGTATGCCAGCTTCACCATTTCCTTCATTTAGCACAGGAATTTTATTTTCAATATAAACATGACTCCATTTTTGCATCTCCACATACCCCACTTTTAGTGGTTCTCTGAGACATGGAGGGGAGGAAAAAGGGGAAACTGGGACATTCTGGGATCAAATCAGACACTGGGACGCCTTCTGTAATTCCGGGACTGTCCCAGGAAAATAGGAGAGTGTGTATCGGGGTCATGGCAGACAAGCAGAGCAGAACAGCAGAGGGGTCAGCAAGATGGGGCTTGTGTGCATGTCTTGGAAATATTATTTGAGTCTCTTTAGGTTTGCTGGGCAATTCTATTACATTGATTTGACAAACACCTTAACTGATAAAGAGGGGAAATAACTATGCTACAGAGAGGCATGCATATTCAGTTTTCAAATACTCTTGTTCGCAATACAGTTGTGAGCTCTTTGACCAGCGAGTGGTTATGTGGTGTCCAAACTTTTTTCAAAGAGGGCCAGATTTGATGAAGTAAAGGGCCGTGAGGGCCGACCAAAGGGCCGACCAAAGTTGTTGAGCTTTGTTTTAGGATTGAAGTTGTTGAGGTTTTTTTTAGGATTTTACCCCAGGGGCCGGATTAAACCGACCGCCAGGCCGGACTAGGCTGCAGAAATGGACTTTGGACATGAAGTGTCCTTCAAGGACTTGTTAAGTACAGTGGTACCTCGGGTTAAGTACTTAATTCATTCCGGAGGTCCATACTTAACCTGAAACTGTTCTTAACCTGAAGCACCACTTTAGCTAATGGGGCCTCCTGCTGCTGCTGCACCACCGGAGCACGATTTCTGTTCTCATCCTGAAGCAAAGTTCTCATCCTGAAGCACTATTTCTGGGTTAGCGGAGTCTGTAACCTGAAGCGCATGTAAACCGAGGTACCACTGTATCTGAAACTCAGGAATCACGTCACTCAGTTAAGGAGCAGCAGAGGTGTTTTGATGTAATAATGATGGCAAGCAAAGTGAAAAGACAGAAATAGGCCCACAACTAGCCTGATGGTGGCACAGGTCTATTTTCCAAATGGCACTAAATGACATTGAGCATTAAGGGAGAAGGAGACTTAAGCATTCTCCTCACAAGCTTTTCCCTGTCTTATTTATGATCAAAAAAACATTGAGAAAAGATGAGGTAATGTGAAGTAGCTCTGTAGTGAAGTATGCCTGGTCTCCAAAATCAGTTCCATTTCCCCTGAGGGACTTTGGCCACAGAGAAGAGTTCTCGTGGAAATGAATTTGCTCGCAAAACATATTCTTCCAATTCTCCTCTGCAAGTGTTTGTATTGGAAGTTCACCATATTCTCTGAATATTCAAATGTTTGCTGAACATTTGCTGAACAAGTGATGCTTGTACCTGAAATATGAAAGTATTGAATTTCCCTATTTGATATTTTATTACAATATTTGATCATTGCATTCAGTAGTTTGACATAAAATTCTTTTTTTTCTTCATGTGTTGCAACTGAAGCATTAATATGTTGGTATGCAACTGTATTTCATATCTTCTTGAATTTGGTAGTTGGCCTGAAATGGTATTTGGTAGTTAATGTGCAATGGTCTGTAGCATTTGACAGCTGAGATTCATATTTTATGCTTGAGGAAACTATCAAGAGATTCCATCAAGTCTAAAGTACTCGAAAACATGGAATATTGTTGCAAAATTTTACAGTCACACAATTCCGTATTGAATTTTGCATGTGCAATTTGATTTAAAATTCAGGGAAAGGGGAGATTTTGAATCTATCAAATTCACACTTTCTGAAATAATATGCAAACTAAAATATAGCTGTCTTTTGAAGTTCACACTTTTTTGAATTTTGCAATCCAATTCTCCAACAAACCCCTTTTCACAAAATTGCATATATTAGGGGGAAAGTGCACAGGAAAGTGAAGACATTAGGGGGGGGAAACATACAACAATGCAGTATATTGGGGTGCATATATATTGGCACCTTCTGTATCTAAAATCTGAAAATTGATTGAACTGTATGAGAGGATAGTGGGGTTGGATACTGAACGTTCTAAAAGACCATGGCTTTCTCTTGTTAACTGTAGGAAAATTAGGTGTAATATAGTTTTAAAAGAATACTTTATTCTTTTCAACTGGTGTTTTGTCATTCAGATACTTTATAGTCTGTGCCACAGTATAAAGTTGCCAAATGCTAGCGCATCTGGTCTCTGCTGTACTTTAGCGCCGCCACCATAGATGGACAGAGAATGGTATTGCAGCTACCTGCTGAACAGAGGACAGGTGACACCCAAAGTTTGCAGCTGTTCCTATAAAAGAAGCTGACTCTGATCTGGCTTCTCCGTTGAAACAATAAGTTGATTGAGGTAGAATCTAGACATGTATTTAAAAAACGCTGTGAAAATGCTTAAAAAAAAAAGTTTTGAAAATACATTGAATTTTTCCATAGCTCACCATCGCCCTCTAGTGTCACATTTGTAGAATGCACCTTGCAACACAAAATGTTTTATTTGCATCTGTATAGCTAAATTCTGAGTATTGACTGAGCTTTCAAAGCACCTGCCTGCCTACAGGCTTACCTCCAAGGTTGATTTAAAAAAAACTGCATCTGAAATGAAATTGCTTTTAGATACTTCCATAGTTTTATCATTTAGAGTCCTGGGCTCTTTTGGGAAGAAGGGCAAGAAATAAATTTAATAAATAAATAAAATGTTCAAGGAAGAGAATGGAAAGCAAATCATAAGCATACAGTTCTCTCAATTGGGAGGATGTTGGAATCCTAGATCAGGAGAATGATCCCACAGTGACTGTGCAGCCCATCACACAACTCAGACAATTATCACAGACATCTGAAGGCTCTAAGCACTTAACCCCCTAAGCACAGAAGTTGTGATCTTCATCTGTTAATGTGGCTGAGATGCTCAAAGGCCTGAGAAGCTAGAGGAACTAAATGATGTTGAGGTACCTGGGGTCCCTACAGATGTTTATGGGCCAAGTACATAGCTCAGTAGGTAGAGCATAAGACTCTTAATAGCAGAGTTATGGGTCTGAGCCCCACGTTGGGCTAAAGTTTCCTGCATTGCAGGGGGTTGGACTAGATGACCCTAGTGGTCCCATCCAACTTTACAATTATATGATAATATGATTCTATGACTACAGGACCCATCATGCCAGATGGTTAGACAAACTAGCTAGGACTGGTGGGAGTTGGTGTCCAACAGCATAATAAAGGCCAGAGGTTCCTCACCCATGAATGAAATAATAATAATAATAATTTATACTCCCTGATGGGAGGGTGTTCTACAAGGCGGGTGCCACTACCAAGAAGGTCCTCTGCCTGGTTCCCTGTAACATCACTTCTCACAGTGAGGGAACTGGCAAAAGGCCCTCAGAGCTGGACCTCAGTGTCTGGGCAGAACGATGGGGGTGGAGACGCTCCTTCAGGTATACTGGGCTGAGGCCATTTAGGGGCTTTAAAGGTCAGCACCAACACTTTGAATTGTGCTTGGAAAAGTACTGGGAGCCAAAGTAAGTCTTTCAAGACCGGTTTTATGTGGTTTCGGTGGCCGCTCCCAGTCACCAGTCTAGCTGCTGCATTCTGGATTAGTTGCAGTTTCTGGGTCACCTTCAAAGGTAGCCCCACATAGAGCACGTTACAATAGTCGAAGTGGGAGATAAGCAGAGCATGCACCACTCTGGCGAGACAGTCTGCAGGCAGGTGGGGTCTCAGCCTGTGTACCAGATAGAGCTGGTAGACAGCTGCCCTGGACATAGAAATCATAATACATATTCCTTCGTCTTTTTTGAAAAAAAATGTTTCCGCGTTTTTCCTTAGCTGCACCACCCTTCACAAGGGTTTCGCTTTGGAACTGTGCGAGAAAGCAGCGCAGAAGATTATTTCAAGCAAAGCTTTCCAGACATGCACGAGTACATGAAAAGATTCAATGTGCCTGCAACTCCCGATGGAGTGGAATACCTGAAGTAAGTGCACATTGCAATTTCACATAAAGATACTGTATCTCGAGGTGGACCTTTGGGATCTGGTAGGTTTCCTATAGATTGACTTAATTGCCACTGTTTGGCTCAGTTCCACCTAGATGCTTAGCCTGTGTAAATTGGCAGAGATTACTAAAAACCATCAAAGCTAAGCCACCAGAGAAGTCTGCACAATGCTCTATGAACTCAAAGTCAAAGTTAAGTACTTGAAAGCTCCATCAATTGTAATGAATTATACATGCCTTTAAATATTTCCCACTGAAATTCTTAACTACAGGTGTGTTGTGGCCAATATATTTTTAGCCTTCTGGACCCATCAAATCATTTTTATTTAGGGAATCCTTCCAGACAACCTTTAATTGTTTTTTTTTAAAAAAATTACCCATTTCCTTTAAAATAATCTCTAGTTATTTTTTAATTATATTTTAGATAAAATGCATTTTTAAGCATTTATAAACCAACTTCGCTTCAATTCGTAGAGGTGTGTTTTTTAAAAAAACACACACACCAAAAAATCAGATAAATAAATCGATTGACTACGATGTGTTCTGACATCAGCATCAAGCACTTGTGTTTATTGACTTATAAATTAGATTTCTGTTTGATTTTGTACAGTGTTTATGTTAAAGGCTTCCTGAGGATTAGCTAAAATAGATCCAGAATTTCCATCCAGAAACAATAAGGCCTCTGCAGATGAGTACAGAGGAATAACTTCTTGTTCCTTATCAAGTGATTTTTCTTGGTGGTGGTGGTTTTATGCTTTGACTTACAGGCATGATCCAGAGAAACTAGATGCCTTCATCATGGACAAAGCGCTCCTGGATTATGAAGTGTCAATAGATGCCGACTGCAAACTTTTAACAGTGGGGAAACCATTTGCTATTGAAGGTAGGAAATATTTTTCTACAAATGTGTATGGGCACTCAGTTATTCCTTATTACTTATACATACATCCAGCTAACTGGGGTAACTCAATCAGTGTGCTACCCCAGAGGAGGGCTGCACTTAGGAAGAATAGTGGGAGCCACCCCCTCCCCCTGATCCTGGATCTTCCCAGGAGCAGGAGGACAGTATAGATTTGGAACAATGGTTTGCAGAGGGGCATAGTTCAGAAGGCAGAAGCTGGGGGATATTGAATGGGGAACAGTTGGAGAAGAAGCACAGTTCAAGAAGGACACTGACAAACTGGAATGTGTCCAGAGGAGGGCAACCAGAATGGTCAAAGGCCTGGAAACGATGCCTTATGAGAAACGGCTAAGGGAGCTGGGCATGTTTAGCCTGGAGAAGAGGAGGTTAAGGGGTGATATGATAGCCATGTTCAAATATATAAAAGGATGTCATATAGAGGAGGGAGAAAGGTTCTTTTCTGCTGCTCCAGAGAAGCGGACACGGAGCAATGGATCCAAACTACAAGAAAGAAGATTCCACCTAAACATTAGGAAGAACTTCCTGACAGTAAGAGCTGTTCGACAGTGGAATTTGCTGCCAAGGAGTGTGGTGGAGTCTCCTTCTTTGGAGGTCTTTAAGCAGAGGCTTGACAGCCATATGTCAGGAGTGCTCTGATGGTGTTTCCTGCTTGGCAGGGGGTTGGACTCGATGGCCCTTGTGTTCTATTCCAACTCTATGATCCTATGATTCTAAGCACTGGGAGAGAGAGTTTTAACAGATTCATAGTCTCTGGATAGTATCCACCCCCTTCCCCACAGTCCTGGAGAACTCAGAAAGTGTCAGAACAGAAAGCACAGAGGGTACAAGCTCAGATTACAAAATGTGGGAGCGAAGTGGATTAATAGGGATTGAGAGGAGAGAGACCTTAATTGGGAGCACCACCATTCTGGTTAGTTGCTTTCTTTTGTCCTTCGCTGTGTTTATTAAAGAAACAAACTGGTAAGAATTCCCTTTTGTTGATCTGCTCATTTACGGCCACGGGGGAGGAAGCCAATTCCCCGAAGCCTAACAGTCAGTAAAGCTTGAGACTCTTAATCCCAGGGTTGGGGGTTTGATCCCCACATTGGGCAAAATATTCCTGCATTGCAAGGGGTTGGACTAGATGATCCTCGTGGTCCCTTCCAACTTCACAATTCTATGATTCTCTCTCTTTTACACAAGCCCACCAGACGACTTACAATAATAAAATTCGAAGCATTTCAGTATTGAAAACAGTACAAGAATAGCAATCATTTAAAGTTTTAAATACAAGTAAATAAATAAGCGACAGCCCAGGATGTAGCATGAAAAGCAGTAAGTCTTTGGGCTGTGTAATGAGCCATCAATTCAGCCTCTGGAATCAAAAGGCTGTATACTCAGGGCAGACCCATTGAAGTGAATGGACCAAATTTAAAAATATTGTTTAATCTCAGTGGAACTGTGCTACATTGGATTTCGGTGGATCTATGCTAACATTAGATGCAAGCCAAAGCCGTCTTGGCTGAAATCCTTAACTCACTTACCTGGGAGTAAGTTCCATTGAACTTAACGGGGATTACTTCTGATTAGATATGAGACTGTGCTGTTGTTGTATGTTTTCCTCTCTGGGATTATTTCAGGCTGCCTGCCATCCATAACCGTCACTGATATTTGTCACAACATCAATCACTTCCATCATTTCCAGTACATCTCACTTCTTTTATAATCAGGTTTTTGGGGTTTGTCTGTTTGGGCATTAAATGACAAAACAGCTCAATCCAACACATGTCTACTCAGAAGTCTTGGTGAATTCAATTGGATTTACTCCAAGTAAATGTATGTGTGGTACAGGATGGCAACTGAAGGCACTTGCTAAAATTCCAGTAGTTCACGACTTAGAGTCCTGGTTTCACTGGTGCTGTTGGTGCACAACTGCACCCTAAATTGGGTTCCCCCGATACCTCTTCCAAACAGACATATTGACTTTTCAACCAAATGGGTGGTTTGAGTTAAGTGGCTCATTTTCTTCCTCTGCCTCTCCCACCACTGTGGGAGGTTGACATGAAGGAAACTCAAAAGAATGGCTTGAAAGACCAGCAACAGTTACATAACCACCATGGACCATAATAGGAGCCGTTAGACTTTGGGCTTCTTCACTCTTCTGGGAGGAATGATCCAAGCTGGACGTGATTGATGCCCTTTCCCCACTTCCCGTCCCCCACTTTCTGCAGCAATCTATCAAACTCCACACCCGCCGACCTCTGTGCTGGACCAAGCACACTTTCTGCCACTTGATGTGCTAAATGAAGCCAAGAGAAGTCGAGTGGTTCTATCTGTAACTCAAGCACTGCCATTTTAAAGACTTTGGCGGTGCTGCGGTCCAACCTGACAGTTTGAAAAGCCATTTTAAACTCTCCGTTGCTGTGGATGAATAATGACATGGTAGCTGCTGTCTCAGATTACCGAATCCCTTGACACCTCATATTGCAAGGCTTAAGCCAGGGCTGGGGAACTCTTATCAGCTGTATTCAGCATGGCCAGTGGTCAGGGATGAGAGGAGCTGTAGATCAATGGCATCTGCAGAGTCAGAGGTCCCCCAGCCCTTGGCTGCAAACACACCACACATTTGATAACTCAAAGAATCCTTGGGGTGTGTTTTAAATGTCCTTTAGATTCATGGCTTTCATGCAGCAGTCACAGGCTCTCAGCACCACTAACTTACCCTCCATTTTTTCCACAGATAAAAGCAGAAATGTTACATACCCTCCAACATTTTTCTGGTGAAAAGAGGGATGTTGCTGCTATTATTGCTATTATTGCTATTATTGCTATTATTGCTATTATTATTATTATTATTATTATTATTATTATTATTATTATACCCCAACCCAGTGGCTTCCAACATATACAAAAATATAATAAAACATTAAACAGTGTGTGTGTGTGTGTGTGTGTGTGTGTGTGTGTGTGTGTACACACACCTTTCCTATACAGGACTGCTTCCTGATGTCTTCAAAAGGTTGTATATCTCCTTGGCTCAGGGGTCGCATAACTCCATACCCTCCAACATTTCTCTGATGAAAATAAGGACCTTCTAAGGAAAAGTGGGACATTCTGGGGTCTAATCAGAAACTAGGGTGGCTTCTGTAAAATCCAGGACTGTCCCTGGAAAATCGGGACACTTGGAGGGTCTATGTATTTGAACTATCCAGTGTTTTGTGGCCACGGAGCATGTCCTCATTTAGCTCTTCTGCAATTTCCTACCTAAGGGGTCCCCCCCAAAAAAACCAAGGGTTTTGCTTTTTGCCAACCTTGGGATTCCTCACCCATGCACTCTGCTGGTACCTTCCTCTTGTCTGTTGATGGTGTTGTTTTGGTGACATAAGGATCAACACTCAGAGAATGAGTACTGCAGGACAGCCTATAGAATGTTAATGCAGCTCTCGAATCAACCTTAGATCTGCCCGGCATTCAAGTTTTTGGTCAGGGAGCCAGTGTGGTGTAGTGGTTAAGAGCGGTGGACTCGTAATCTGGTGAACCGGGTTTGCTTCCCCGCTCCTCCACATGCAGCTGCTGGGTGACCTTGAGCTAGTCACACTTCTCTGAAGTCTCTCAGCCTCACTCACCTCACAGAGTGTTTGTTGTGGGGGAGGAAGGGAAAGGAGAATGTTAGCCACTTTGAGACTCCTTAGGGTAATGATAAAGCGGGATATCAAATCCAAACTCCTCTTCTCTTCTTCTTCTGGTCACGCTGTAGTGTGACAAAGAGATGCAATCCAGGAACTGGTTTGCATATTGAAACTGGTCTCTTTCCTCTGCTCCTTCGGGCCATTGTTTCACTCCCCTGGTGCATCTGTAGTCGCCAAATCCAAGTGCACAAGTCCTGAACATGCCGTTCCCTTTCTCTGAGCCTTCTTTGAGTTTCATGCCTGCCTCTCTCTAGAACTGGACTTTAAACTTTCGGTAGCCTGACTTTCCCCTCCCGCCTATGTGTGTTTAGCTGATTAGAACGGGCAAGCCCCTAGAGCAGGCCAGCTCAACCAGCTAAATATAGTTTCATGTGTATATACCCCTATATATAAAAATATATATACACACACACACTACAACGTCGCCTAATTTCCTAGTTGTATAACATGGCAGTGGGGCTGCCGACCTCCCGCTGCTTCTTGGCTTTGTGCTCATGGCTTTGTGGGCTACTCTTCTGCTGCGAATAGTCATGAATTTGCATGTGCTAAAAAGGGTGATTATACAAGCAATTAGCAATCTCCCGCTGGCAACTTGCAGAGTTGTTTGTGAATTCACCCACTTAATAGGCATAAAAGCTTTTTGCTTCTTCTGTTTTACTAGTCTGAACCTGCTGCTTCTCTCTGTGCACTTAGAGGTGTTGCGACAGGGAACTAACTGTGGCACGCAAAATACATGTACTTTTTTTTATTTCTTACCAGACACACATATAAACATACCCCTATGCCTATCAGTACCACCCTTCATCAACCTGGTACCCTGCATTGTTTAGGGGTTACAACTCTCATTGACCCCAGCCAGCCCAATTTCCTCCCCCACCCCTTCATACAAAGGAGCTTTGAGTTGGCATTTGAATGCAGGACTCACATGCATAGTTAGTGGGAAGCAATGTAGCATAGTTATTGTACATGCAGTTTATGACAATGCAAACCACAAACATCCCCCTCCACATACATACATGCAAAGAGATCTACACCTGACTAGAAATAGTTTCCAATATTCTGCCCCACTTTCCAATAATAATAATAATAAAATAATTTATTTATACCCCACCCATCTGGCGGGTTTCCCCAGCCACTCTGGGCAGCTTCCAACAAAATATTAAAAATATAATAAAACACCAGATATTAAAAACTTCCCTAAACAGGGCTGCCTTCAGCTGTCTTCTAAAAGTCAGATAGTTGCTTATTTCCTTGACATCTGATGGGAGGGTGTTCCACAGGGCGGGCGCCACTACCAAGAAGGCCCCCTGCCTGGTTCCCTATAACCTCACTTCTCACAATGAGGGAACTGGCAGAAGGCCCTCGGAGCTGGACCTCAGTGTCCAGGCTGAATGATAGCAGTGGAAACGCTCCTTTGCCATGCGCGCCATTGTTCTGGGTTCCTCCTCCCTCCGGCATGTGGTGAGTGAGGACCCTGTTGCAACAGATCAATAAAGATCAGGCTTACTAGCTGCTTTGCTTCTCAATAGTCTCTGGTTGGCCTCTGTTATTTTCTCCTACCAATAGGGAACCTACGTAAGGATTCTATATGTGCTCTTGGATACCCCATAAGGGAAAAAAGGGCAGATTTTTGTTTACAACAAGGTATACTGAGCCGAGGCCATTTAGGGCTTTAAAGGTCAGCACCCACACTTTGAATTGTGCCTGGAAATGTACTGGGAGCCAATGTAGGCCTTTCAGGACCAGTGTTATGTGGTCTCGGGGGCCACTCCCAGTCACTAGTCTAGCTGCCGCATTCTGGATTAGTTGTAGTTTCCGGTTCACCTTCAAAGGTAGTCCCACGTAGAGTGCATTGCAGTAGTTCCCAGCACTCTGTCGCACTTTAGTGTGACCAAGGAATAGAATCCGCATTGGGGCTGAGAGGATGGAAGCAGCCATGATTCACAATGGCTGGTTTCTGATGAGAGAAGGAGCTGGTCAAGCTTCCATTCCAAGTACTCCCCATTACCTTCTGCAAGACAAGGGTGCCATCTCCTAAGGGCTGGGCTCAATTGCCCCCCAATATATTTTGGTGGGGAGGCGGCCCCCCAATGGCAAGAGGAGGAGGCCGAGCACCAGAGAAGAGGAGCTTCTGGCACTGTGTTCAGCTCTGCTTCTGCCTCCTCCCAACCGTTGTGATGCGACGTCACATGTCATGCATGCAACGATGCCCCAATCTTTGGCGCAAGCCGTTGCCTCTGTTCCAAGATATGTAAACAGTTATCATTTCCATCTGAGGGAAAAGTAAAGTGCTATACTTTGGGGCTGTGGTGGAGTGGAGGGAACCCAACCCACGCTGACTGGGATCCGAGGTTCAAAATGTCTCTAGATGCAAAGGAACCAGAGGTTTGCTATGCATTATACCAGACATGTCCAACAGGTAGATCATGATGTACAGGTAGATCACCGGACATCTGTGGTAGATCAGTGGTAGATCACTAGCTCCCCCCCAAGAAGCTCAAGAACCTTGGCTCCCCTAAAAAAAGCTCAGCAACGTTGACCTGAACCCCCCAAAATGGGGGTGATCACTGTCAGCTTTTAACTCTGTGAGTAGATCTCAGTCTCTTGGGAGTTGGCCACCTCTGCATTATACGAACCCTCTGCAAACACCCCCATCAGTCATTATGACAGCATTTTCCTTGTCTGTATCCAGCTTGTCAGTAGATGAAGAGACAAATGAACTTATGTGTATACACGGGGGGGATGGGGGACAAAGAATCCACATAGTGTGTGGGTGTACATGCACGCACACATTCACATTTGTGCACAATAACAGATGTATTGTCTGCAAATCACAACACAATCTGAAGTAGTACTAGAGGAGATTGTGACTGGAAATAGCTTCAATCTTGCGGTTCTGATGAGCTCCCCGTTTGGGTTACCTCATTATTACTTATGTGACCTTGAAAAGCCTCCATATTTGCCAATAGCTATCACTTATTCTTGTGGCTCACAGAGAGATCCTTGATTTTGGCCAGTTGACAAGGAACAACAAAATTGAACAAAGCAAATGAGGGTGGAAATCCCTCATACAATAGTGGAGACATTTCATCTTCAAGCGACCTATTTCGCATAATAGAATTATAGTGTGTTTAGAACCAGTCCACGATGGGAGAGGTATAGAATTTTGTTGATTGTTCGCCAGTCACGAAACTATATCCCAAGCACCACATGTTTAGGGAAGCTTTTAATGTTTAATAGGTTATTGTATTTTAGTGTTTTATTGGAAGCCGCCCAGAGTAGCTGGGGAAACCCGCCAGATGGGCAGGGTATAAATAATAAATTATTATTATTATTATTATTATTATTATTATTATTATTATTATCATCATTATCATCATCATCATCATCATCATCATCATGGCTTTCCAGGGAACTGAGTAAATACATATGCATATATTTGTTAACATTTATATTTGAACACTTTATTCTGTGGAACATGGGGGCGAGGGTACTTTACCTTCATTCTACAAGGTAGGTTAGGGTTAATATCCCTTGCATATTATCTGTTTGGAGTGTATCAGGAAGGACAAATAAGTTATGCTTTCCCCCCTCCCCCCACAGCTGGTGTGAGAAACTGGGGGAAGCAAATTTGTTGACATTTTGAAGGTATGATGATTGGCTAACCAGCATCTGTTATTGGACTTTTATTGCCAAAATGAAGATACTAATAGACAAATAAAGCCTTAATTAATGATCTGGGGGAGGGAGAGGAACCTTTGCTTCGTTATAAGAAAAACAGCAACCCACATTCAGCTGTGCAGCCAATCAATTGTTCTCAGGAGACCCTTGGATAGACACTGAATTTTAAATTGGATTAGTCCTAATTCAGTTTGGACATCCAGCTGGCAACATCCACTGTTCATGGAATATGTAAGCAAGCTGACGAGTACTCAGGAAAATGTGGGTTATTATTATTTTGGTCATCATGGCAAAACAATGGACAAGGGTGACCTCGTGAGTTGTCTTCCAAGTTTGTGCCTCTCTAATTGCACTGCGTTTTGTCTTTCCATAGGGTATGGTATTGGCCTTCCTCCAAACTCTCCACTAACCTCAAATATTTCTGAACTGATAAGCCAGTATAAGTCCCACGGCTTCATGGATGTCTTGCATGACAAGTGGTACAAGGTTGTACCGTGTGGGAAAAGAAGCTTTGCTGTGACAGAGGTAAGAGACGTTTTGTAGTTACCCAACTGACAGCATCCTCGTTTTTATCTCAGCTCAGATGCTTACTTACATGTGCACACACATACTCAGTACATGGCGTGCAGCAAGGGGGGGAATTAAAAGATTATTGGTGTTGATGTCAGGGGTGGAGGAAGGGTGTGTGGTGGGTGCAGTCCGCCCCAGGTGTCACCGCTGAAGGGGGTGACAAAATGCCGGACAGCACTCACCGCGGGGCCTGCAACACGCCCGAGCCACATGTCTCTCCTAGGAGAGACTGTTGCGAATTCTCCGCGGCGCTTTAGCAGAAATGCTCAGAGTTCCAGGTTCTTCAGTGCAGTGTATTTTATTGTGAGCTATATATACAAATATCTGCAGGCTATAATACACGAGCAGTTCATACAGTCAAACAGAGTACCTGGCTGCACTTAAGGCAAATAGGAAGACCTCTAAACTCTCTCTCTTCTGACCACACTCCTCTAACACCACACCTTTACCACTGGAACAGGTTTCCCTTTTAAACCGAGGGCAGCCAATCAACTGTCAGTACATTACTGCTGAGTCATTTTGACCCAGCACTTCCATAGAAAGTATTCCGGGGTGATTGCATCAGCCAGTTGCATCAGCTAGCAAACTCAAGCCTGCAGACTTACTATCTCACACAGCATTCTGTGAATCCCGACAGAGACGCAGTGACTTGGACATGTGCAGGCTCCATGCTGCCCAAACGGTCCGCCCACTGCCTCCCCCCCCCCCCAGCTGTAGGGCAGCTGAGTGGGAGGATGCAGGCAGACTCCAGTGACCCCCACAGTGCACCCCACCCCTATGGGCAGCTCACCCCACCCCTGGGCGCACCGCCCCAGTGCCCAAGTGGATTCTTAAGCCTCTGGTTGATGTAAAGAGTGCTGTTTGCAGAGTTATTCCAAGAAGTATCCCACATACATACATGCAAGAGATCTACACCTGACTAGAAATAGTTTCCAATATTCTGCCCCACTTTCCAATAATAATAATAATAAAAATAATTTATTTATACCCACCCATCTGGCGGGTTTCCCCAGCCACTCTGGGCAGCTTCCAACAAAATATTAAAATATAATAAAACACCAGATATTAAAAACTTCCCTAAACAGGGCTGCCTTCAGCTGTCTTCTAAAAGTCAGATAGTTGCTATTTCCTTGACATCTGATGGAGGGTGTTCACCAGGGCGGGCGCCACTACAAGAAGCCCCCTGCCTGGTTCCCTATAACCTCACTTCTCACAATGAGGGAACTGGCAGAAGGCCCTCGGAGCTGGACCTCAGTGTCCAGGCTGAATGATAGCAGTGGAAACGCTCCTTTGCCATGCGCCCATTGTTCGGGTTCCTCTCCCTCCGGCATGTGTTGAGTGAGGACCCTGTTGCAACAGATCAATAAAGATCAGGCTTACTAGCTGCTTTGCTTCTCAATAGTCTCTGGTTGGCCTCTGTTATTTTCTCCTACCAATAGGGAACCTACGTAAGGATTCTATATGTGCTCTTGGATACCCCATAAGGGAAAAAAGGGCAGATTTTTGTTTACAACAAGGTATACTGAGCCGAGGCCATTTAGGGCTTTAAAGGTCAGCACCCACACTTTGAATTGTGCCTGGAAATGTACTGGAGCCAATGTAGGCCTTTCAGGACCAGTGTTATGTGGTCTCGGGGCCACTCCCAGTCCACTAGTCTAGCTGCCGCATTCTGGATTAGTTGTAGTTTCCGGGTTCACTTCAAAGGTAGTCCCACGTAGAGTGCATTGCAGTAGTTCCCAGCACTCTGTCGCACTTTAGTGTGACCCAAGGAATAAGATTCCGCATTGGGGCTGAGAGGATGGAAGCAGCCATGATTCACAATGGGTGGTTTCTGATGAGAGAAGGAGCTGGTCAAGCTTCCATTCCAAGTACTCCCCATTACCTTCTGCAAGACAAGGGTGCCATCTTCCTAAGGGCTGGGCTCAATTGCCCCCCAATATATTTTGGGGGGAGGCGGCCCCCAATGGCAAGAGAGGAGGCCGAGCCACCAGAGAAGAGGAGCTTCTGGCACTGTGTTCAGCTCTGCTTCTGCCTCCTCCCAACCGTTGTGATGCGACGTCACATGTCATGCATGCAACGATGCCCCAATCTTTGGCGCAAGCCGTTGCCTCTGTTCCAAGATATGTAAACAGTTATCATTTCCATCTGAGGGAAAAGTAAAGTGCTATACTTTGGGCTGTGGTGGAGTGGAGGGAAACCCAACCCACGCTGACTGGGATCCGAGGTTCAAAATGTCTCTAGATGCAAAGGAACCAGAGTTTGCTATGCATTATACCAGACATGTCCAACAGGTAGATCATGATGTACAGGTAGATCACCGGACATCTGTGGTAGATCAGTGGTAGATCACTAGCTCCCCCCCCAAGAAGCTCAAGAACCTTGGCTCCCCTAAAAAAAGCTCAGCAACGTTGACCTGAACCCCCCAAAATGGGGGTGATCACTGTCAGCTTTTAACTCTGTGAGTAGATCTCAGTCTCTTGGGAGTTGGCCACCTCTCTTTCTGCAGCAATCTATCAAACTCCACACCCGCCGACCTCTGTGCTGGACCAAGCACACTTTCTGCCACTTGATGTGCTAAATGAAGCCAAGAGAAGTCGAGTGGTTCTATCTGTAACTCAAGCACTGCCATTTTAAAGACTTTGGCGGTGCTGCGGTCCAACCTGACAGTTTGAAAAGCCATTTTAAACTCTCCGTTGCTGTGGATGAATAATGACATGGTAGCTGCTGTCTCAGATTACCGAATCCCTTGACACCTCATATTGCAAGGCTTAAGCCAGGGCTGGGGAACTCTTATCAGCTGTATTCAGCATGGCCAGTGGTCAGGGATGAGAGGAGCTGTAGATCAATGGCATCTGCAGAGTCAGAGGTCCCCCAGCCCTTGGCTGCAAACACACCACACATTTGATAACTCAAAGAATCCTTGGGGTGTGTTTTAAATGTCCTTTAGATTCATGGCTTTCATGCAGCAGTCACAGGCTCTCAGCACCACTAACTTACCCTCCATTTTTTCCACAGATAAAAGCAGAAAATGTTACATACCCTCCAACATTTTTCTGGTGAAAAGAGGGATGTTGCTGCTATTATTGCTATTATTGCTATTATTGCTATTATTGCTATTATTGCTATTATTATTATTATTATTATTATTATTATTATTATTATTATTATACCCCAACCCAGTGGCTTCCAACATATACAAAAATATAATAAAACATTAAACAGTGTGTGTGTGTGTGTGTGTGTGTGTGTGTGTGTGTGTGTGTACACACACCTTTCCTATACAGGACTGCTTCCTGATGTCTTCAAAAAGGTTGTATATCTCCTTGGCTCAGGGGTCGCATAACTCCACACCCTCCAACATTTCTCTGATGAAAATAAGGACCTTCTAAGGAAAAGTGGGACATTCTGGGGTCTAATCAGAAACTAGGTGGCTTCTGTAAAATCCAGGACTGTCCCTGGAAAATCGGGACACTTGGAGGGTCTATGTATTTGAACTATCCAGTGTTTTGTGGCCACGGAGCATGTCCTCATTTAGCTCTTCTGCAATTTCCTACCTAAGGGGTCCCCCCCAAAAAAACCAAGGGTTTTGCTTTTTGCCAACCTTGGGATTCCTCACCCATGCACTCTGCTGGTACCTTCCTCTTGTCTGTTGATGGTGTTGTTTTGGTGACATAAGGATCAACACTCAGAGAATGAGTACTGCAGGACAGCCTATAGAATGTTAATGCAGCTCTCGAATCAACCTTAGATCTGCCCGGCATTCAAGTTTTTGGTCAGGGAGCCAGTGTGGTGTAGTGGTTAAGAGCGGTGGACTCGTAATCTGGTGAACCGGGTTTGCTTCCCCGCTCCTCCACATGCAGCTGCTGGGTGACCTTGAGCTAGTCACACTTCTCTGAAGTCTCTCAGCCTCACTCACCTCACAGAGTGTTTGTTGTGGGGGAGGAAGGGAAAGGAGAATGTTAGCCACTTTGAGACTCCTTAGGGTAGTGATAAAGCGGGATATCAAATCCAAACTCCTCTTCTCTTCTTCTTCTGGTCACGCTGTAGTGTGACAAAGAGATGCAATCCAGGAACTGGTTTGCATATTGAAACTGGTCTCTTTCCTCTGCTCCTTCGGGCCATTGTTTCACTCCCCTGGTGCATCTGTAGTCGCCAAATCCAAGTGCACAAGTCCTGAACATGCCGTTCCCTTTCTCTGAGCCTTCTTTGAGTTTCATGCCTGCCTCTCTCTAGAACTGGACTTTAAACTTTCGGTAGCCTGACTTTCCCCTCCCGCCTATGTGTGTTTAGCTGATTAGAACGGGCAAGCCCCTAGAGCAGGCCAGCTCAACCAGCTAAATATAGTTTCATGTGTATATACCCCTATATATAAAAATATATATACACACACACACTACAACGTCGCCTAATTTCCTAGTTGTATAACATGGCAGTGGGGCTGCCGACCTCCCGCTGCTTCTTGGCTTTGTGCTCATGGCTTTGTGGGCTACTCTTCTGCTGCGAATAGTCATGAATTTGCATGTGCTAAAAAGGGTGATTATACAAGCAATTAGCAATCTCCCGCTGGCAACTTGCAGAGTTGTTTGTGAATTCACCCACTTAATAGGCATAAAAGCTTTTTGCTTCTTCTGTTTTACTAGTCTGAACCTGCTGCTTCTCTCTGTGCACTTAGAGGTGTTGCGACAGGGAACTAACTGTGGCACGCAAAATACATGTACTTTTTTTATTTCTTACCAGACACACATATAAACATACCCCTATGCCTATCAGTACCACCCTTCATCAACCTGGTACACTGCATTGTTTAGGGGTTACAACTCTCATTGACCCCAGCCAGCCCAATTTCCTCCCCCACCCCTTCATACAAAGGAGCTTTGAGTTGGCATTTGAATGCAGGACTCACATGCATAGTTAGTGGGAAGCAATGTAGCATAGTTATTGTACATGCAGTTTATGACAATGCAAACCACAAACATCCCCCTCCACATACATACATGCAAAGAGATCTACACCTGACTAGAAATAGTTTCCAATATTCTGCCCCACTTTCCAATAATAATAATAATAAAAATAATTTATTTATACCCCACCCATCTGGCGGGTTTCCCCAGCCACTCTGGGCAGCTTCCAACAAAATATTTAAAATATAATAAAACACCAGATATTAAAAACTTCCCTAAACAGGGCTGCCTTCAGCTGTCTTCTAAAAGTCAGATAGTTGCTTATTTCCTTGACATCTGATGGGAGGGTGTTCCACAGGGCGGGCGCCACTACCAAGAAGGCCCCCTGCCTGGTTCCCTATAACCTCACTTCTCACAATGAGGGAACTGGCAGAAGGCCCTCGGAGCTGGACCTCAGTGTCCAGGCTGAATGATAGCAGTGGAAACGCTCCTTTGCCATGCGCGCCATTGTTCTGGGTTCCTCCTCCCTCCGGCATGTGGTGAGTGAGGACCCTGTTGCAACAGATCAATAAAGATCAGGCTTACTAGCTGCTTTGCTTCTCAATAGTCTCTGGTTGGCCTCTGTTATTTTCTCCTACCAATAGGGAACCTACGTAAGGATTCTATATGTGCTCTTGGATACCCCATAAGGGAAAAAAGGGCAGATTTTTGTTTACAACAAGGTATACTGAGCCGAGGCCATTTAGGGCTTTAAAGGTCAGCACCCACACTTTGAATTGTGCCTGGAAATGTACTGGGAGCCAATGTAGGCCTTTCAGGACCAGTGTTATGTGGTCTCGGGGGCCACTCCCAGTCACTAGTCTAGCTGCCGCATTCTGGATTAGTTGTAGTTTCCGGGTCACCTTCAAAGGTAGTCCCACGTAGAGTGCATTGCAGTAGTTCCATAGGCGCCGACTCCATGGGGCTTGAGGGGGCCCGAGCCCCCTCAAAAATTCGTTTGGGGGGCTCTGCCCTCCCAATAATCTCCGGCGCCCCTCCAGCAGAGCGCCATCGCCGCCCCTCCCCCAGCCCAAAATGCACAGGGAGGGGCGGGCTGCATGCCTCCTGCCCTCCCTCCCGAGCAAAAGCTCCACCCAATTTCCTTTGGAGCTGATTAATAGGCGCAGCACGCTCTCCCCTATTCGCTCACGAGGAGGCGGCGCCACTTTATTTGCATATTCATGAGCTTATTTATTATTCATGAGCTTTCCCGGGCCCCCCCAATATTTTTTATAAGTCCGCGTCCCTGAGTAGTTCCCAGCACTCTGTCGCACTTTAGTGTGACCAAGGAATAGAATCCGCATTGGGGCTGAGAGGATGGAAGCAGCCATGATTCACAATGGCTGGTTTCTGATGAGAGAAGGAGCTGGTCAAGCTTCCATTCCAAGTACTCCCCATTACCTTCTGCAAGACAAGGGTGCCATCTCCTAAGGGCTGGGCTCAATTGCCCCCCAATATATTTTGGTGGGGAGGCGGCCCCCCAATGGCAAGAGGAGGAGGCCGAGCACCAGAGAAGAGGAGCTTCTGGCACTGTGTTCAGCTCTGCTTCTGCCTCCTCCCAACCGTTGTGATGCGACGTCACATGTCATGCATGCAACGATGCCCCAATCTTTGGCGCAAGCCGTTGCCTCTGTTCCAAGATATGTAAACAGTTATCATTTCCATCTGAGGGAAAAGTAAAGTGCTATACTTTGGGGCTGTGGTGGAGTGGAGGGAACCCAACCCACGCTGACTGGGATCCGAGGTTCAAAATGTCTCTAGATGCAAAGGAACCAGAGGTTTGCTATGCATTATACCAGACACGTCCAACAGGTAGATCATGATGTACAGGTAGATCACCGGACATCTGTGGTAGATCAGTGGTAGATCACTAGCTCCCCCCCAAGAAGCTCAAGAACCTTGGCTCCCCTAAAAAAAGCTCAGCAACGTTGACCTGAACCCCCCAAAATGGGGGTGATCACTGTCAGCTTTTAACTCTGTGAGTAGATCTCAGTCTCTTGGGAGTTGGCCACCTCTGCATTATACGAACCCTCTGCAAACACCCCCATCAGTCATTATGACAGCATTTTCCTTGTCTGTATCCAGCTTGTCAGTAGATGAAGAGACAAATGAACTTATGTGTATACACGGGGGGGATGGGGGACAAAGAATCCACATAGTGTGTGGGTGTACATGCACGCACACATTCACATTTGTGCACAATAACAGATGTATTGTCTGCAAATCACAACACAATCTGAAGTAGTACTAGAGGAGATTGTGACTGGAAATAGCTTCAATCTTGCGGTTCTGATGAGCTCCCCGTTTGGGTTACCTCATTATGTGACCTTGAAAAGCCTCCATATTTGCCAATAGCTATCACTTATTCTTGTGGCTCACAGAGAGATCCTTGATTTTGGCCAGTTGACAAGGAACAACAAAATTGAACAAAGCAAATGATGGTGGAAATCCCTCATACAATAGTGGAGACATTTCATCTTCAAGCGACCTATTTCGCATAATAGAATTATAGTGTGTTTAGAACCAGTCCACGATGGGAGAGGTATAGAATTTTGTTGATTGTTCGCCAGTCACGAAACTATATCCCAAGCACCACATGTTTAGGGAAGCTTTTAATGTTTAATAGGTTATTGTATTTTAGTGTTTTATTGGAAGCCGCCCAGAGTAGCTGGGGAAACCCGCCAGATGGGCAGGGTATAAATAATAAATTATTATTATTATTATTATTATTATTATTATTATTATCATCATCATCATCATCATCATGGCTTTCCAGGGAACTGAGTAAATACATATGCATATATTTGTTAACATTTATATTTGAACACTTTATTCTGTGGAACATGGGGGCGAGGGTACTTTACCTTCATTCTACAAGGTAGGTTAGGGTTAATATCCCTTGCATATTATCTGTTTGGAGTGTATCAGGAAGGACAAATAAGTTATGCTTTCCCCCCTCCCCCCACAGCTGGTGTGAGAAACTGGGGGAAGCAAATTTGTTGACATTTTGAAGGTATGATGATTGGCTAACCAGCATCTGTTATTGGACTTTTATTGCCAAAATGAAGATACTAATAGACAAATAAAGCCTTAATTAATGATCTGGGGGAGGGAGAGGAACCTTTGCTTCGTTATAAGAAAAACAGCAACCCACATTCAGCTGTGCAGCCAATCAATTGTTCTCAGGAGACCCTTGGATAGACACTGAATTTTAAATTGGATTAGTCCTAATTCAGTTTGGACATCCAGCTGGCAACATCCACTGTTCATGGAATATGTAAGCAAGCTGACGAGTACTCAGGAAAATGTGGGTTATTATTATTTTGGTCATCATGGCAAAACAATGGACAAGGGTGACCTCGTGAGTTGTCTTCCAAGTTTGTGCCTCTCTAATTGCACTGCGTTTTGTCTTTCCATAGGGTATGGTATTGGCCTTCCTCCAAACTCTCCACTAACCTCAAATATTTCTGAACTGATAAGCCAGTATAAGTCCCACGGCTTCATGGATGTCTTGCATGACAAGTGGTACAAGGTTGTACCGTGTGGGAAAAGAAGCTTTGCTGTGACAGAGGTAAGAGACGTTTTGTAGTTACCCAACTGACAGCATCCTCGTTTTTATCTCAGCTCAGATGCTTACTTACATGTGCACACACATACTCAGTACATGGCGTGCAGCAAGGGGGGGGAATTAAAAGATTATTGGTGTTGATGTCAGGGGTGGAGGAAGGGGTGTGTGGTGGGTGCAGTCCGCCCCAGGTGTCACCGCTGAAGGGGGTGACAAAATGCCGGACAGCACTCACCGCGGGGCCTGCAACACGCCCGAGCCACATGTCTCTCCTAGGAGAGACTGTTGCGAATTCTCCGCGGCGCTTTAGCAGAAATGCTCAGAGTTCCAGGTTCTTCAGTGCAGTGTATTTATTGTGAGCTATATATACAAATATCTGCAGGCTATAATACACGAGCAGTTCATACAGTCAAACAGAGTACCTGGCTGCACCTTAAGGCAAATAGGAAGACCTCTAACTCTCTCTCTCTGACCACACTCCTCTACACCACACCTTTACCACTGGACAGGTTTCCCTTTTAAACCGAGGGCAGCCAATCAACTGTCAGTACATTACTGCTGAGTCATTTTGACCCAGCACTTCCATAGAAAGTATTCCGGGGTGATTGCATCAGCCAGTTGCATCAGCTAGCAAACTCAAGCCTGCAGACTTACTATCTCACACAGCATTCTGTGAATCCCGACAGAGACGCAGTGACTTGGACATGTGCAGGCTCCATGCTGCCCAAACGGTCCGCCCACTGCCTTCCCCCCCCCAGCTGTAGGGCAGCTGAGTGGGAGGATGCAGGCAGACTCCAGTGACCCCCACAGTGCACCCCACCCCTATGGGCAGCTCACCCCACCCCTGGGCGCACCGCCCCAGGTGCCCAAGTGGATTCTTAAGCCTCTGGTTGATGTAAAGAGTGCTGTTTGCAGAGTTATTCCAAGAAGTGTGTGGGATTAGCATGCAAAGGAGTCTGCAATGTGATCATGTGGTGTGTTTCTATCTTTTTAAAAAAGATTTTCATTTTCCTTAGAAGGAAATAAAATAATACAAAGTAAAGTGGGGAGAGACGCAACCATCTAACAATTATATTTCTCCTGGCTTTTACCCCAGGCCAAATGCTTCTTCTATAGATGTTCTGTTCACCTGTCAAGGTATCCACCAGAGCAACAATACATGTTCATTCCACAGAAATATGTACTGCAAAGGAACTTTTTCTGAACTCCTTGTGTCCTGTTGGAAATTTAATAAAAGAAAACCGTGTATTGTGAAACCTTGTCATGTTGAATTTGCCCCTTAAGCAATCAGGCCTTCTTGAATCAGCTTTTCCAGTATTGCTAAATCCCAAACCAAGGTTCAATGGTGGCTCCCTCTAAGTACTGACCAGAAATGGGCAGCAATTGCTCTCACTGCCCTGGGTGAAAAGCAAACCATGTGTGATTCTTGAGAATTAAAGAATAAAACAAAACAAAAAAATATAGAAATTACAGGGGTTTTTTTTAAAAAGGTGTCAAGGGAGCAAAACAGAGTGAATAGAGGTAGCTGTTCATGCAGGTGGGCTCCTGTCCTTTGTATTTGTGTTTGGAGGTCTGAATAACAATGACTATTAGAACTGGTGGAGAGAGAAATAATACAACAAGGCTCTGAGCAGAACTTTGGTAAAAATGCTAATACAGTGGTACCTCAGTTTACAAACTTAATCTGTTCTGGAAGTCCATTCTTAAACCAAAACCGTTCTTAAACTGAGGTGTGCTTTCCCGAATGAGGCGTCCTGCCACCAGTGCCCTTCCACCGTTCAGCTTCCGTTCTTAGACCGAGGTAAAGTTCGCAAACCGGGACACTACTTCCGGTTTTGCGGAGTTCGTAAACCGAATAGTTCATAAACAGGGCTGTTCTTAAACCGAGATACCACTGTATGATGTACGATGAATTGACCCATTGTCAGGGAGCCGACAAGGAGAACAGGTCATTTGCAGATCAGAGAAAGTCAGTGAAACACCGGCTAACTTAGAGTTAGTTTATTTATAAAGGAAGCAGAACAGAGAACAGAAGGAGACTTCTAAGGGTTGCTCCTGTCTTAATGAAGCAGTTGCCTGGACTGGCTTGTAGCTCCCACTTCACTCCTTAGCCCTCTGTGTCAGGCCCCTCCCTCTGTCGATGGTGAGCCCCAAGGGACCCTCTTTGTTTCTGCTTGGCTCTCTGCTGAGTAACATGCAATAGACTCCTTGTTCTGAGGTGGGGAGCAGGGACTTGCAGGCTGTCAGCACAGAATCTGTCCAGGTGGCTCTGTGGTGGAGCTGCCAAGTCTGATTCTTGTCTCTGTCCTGTACTGGGGCACCTACATGTTTCCTCCTCTTCATCATCCTTCAAGCTCTCAGCCTCCATTACCTCCCAGCTCCTCCCCTCCTCTGGGGTGTGGCCAGTTTCTCACCACCAGGAGCCAGGATCCAAATTCTCTCCCTCTGTGCTTTCCCTGAGGGGGCTCTCGGTTGGGCAGCTTCCACCGCTTCTCCTCATCCAGCCAATCCCTGACACACCCAGGTGGTTTTGGAAGCTGCAGCAGAATGAATACAGAGGACCAATGTAAGCCAGTCAAATGCTGAAGATTTACTCTACTGATTCCTTTCGACATGCAGCCACACAGTGGTATGGGTTTCATTTTTCAGTGGCTGTGAACCCATGCTGCTGTGGGGTTTGTGTAAGCAAAGCAGCCACATGGTCGACAAAGTATAAGAAGTTGTGCAAACATTGAAATATAAGCATCCACTGTGGGTAGAAGCCTCAGTGCCTAGGGCTTGCCGATCGAAAGGTCGGCGGTTCGAATCCCCGCGGCGGGGTGCGCTCCCGTCGCTCGGTCCCAGCGCCTGCCAACCTAGCAGTTCGAAAGCACCTCCGGGTGCAAGTAGATAAATAGGGACCGCTTACTAGTGGGAAGGTAAACGGCATTTCCGTATGCAGCTCTGGCTCGCCAGATGCTGCTTGTCACGCTGGCCACGTGACCCGGAAGTGTCTCCGGACAGCGCTGGCCCCCGGCCTCTTGAGTGAGATGGGCGCACAACCCTAGAGTCTGTCAAGACTGGCCCGTACGGGCAGGGGTACCTTTACCTTTTATTAAGATGCACATTAAAGTAGCAGCATTAAGACAATACAGTGGTACCTCGGGTTACAGACGCTTCAGGTTACAGACGCTTCAGGTTACAGACGCTTCAGGTTACAGACTCCGCTAACCCAGAAATTGTACCTCAGGTTAAGAACTTTGCTTCAGGATGAGTACAGAAATCGTGCTCGCGGTGGCGGCGGGCAGCAGGAGGCCCCATTAGCTAAAGTGGTGCTTCAGGTTAAGAACAGTTTCAGGTTAAGAACGGACCTCCGGAACGAATTAAGTACTTAACCTGAGGTACCACTGTAGTTTCCTGCCAACCTAGCAGTTCGAAAGCACAAAGTGCAAGTTAGAAAATAGATACCACTCCAGTGGGGAGGTAAACGGCGTTTCCATGTGCTGCTCTGGTTCGCCCAGAAGCGGCTTAAGTCATGCTGGCAACATGACCCGGAAGCTGTCTGCAGACAAACTGCCAGCTCCCTCGGCCAATAAAGCGAGATGAGCGCCGCAACCCCAGAGTCGGTCACGACTGGACCTAATGGTCAGGGGTCCCTTTACCTTTACCACTGTAGTTAAAAAGTAATTAAAAATGCAGATAGTAAAAAAAGCACATCACTATTTAAAGGCTGTTGGAATAAACAGTCTTGGAATTTGGAACTGTTGGACTTGCCAGCAGAACAAGGGAGTCAGTCTAGCTCTCTAGGATGGGAGTTTCAGAGTCTGAGAGCAGCGCTACCAAATATCCTGTGAGGGTGGCAGGATCAAGAGAAGGGCTTCCCTGAAGGTGTCAGACACGCGGGCGGGTTTGCATGGCAGAATGTGGTCCTGGGCCTCAGCTTTAGAAGTCATAAACAGCCCTTTGAATAAACAGATTTAGATTTCTCAAGGATAACACTTTCAGAGAGAACAAGAGTTATGAGTCTGTTTTCAGGAGTTTAATCATTCGCGGCAGAGCTGCACAACTCAGAGCAGAGAAAATCTTCATGAAAGTCTAGCATCTTAAAAACATGTACCAGTGACAGTAGTCTACAAAGAGCATTGAAGGTGAACTGCCTACTTTCATGTGGAACGAGGGACAAGTCTCGCACCCAGTTCCAGCCAGCCCATGCAAGCAGTGCAGCATCACTAGATCGTTTGAGAAAGTGGAGGATGGAAGGAGTACATGCACTTTCCCATGTTGGTACTATGACACAAATCTTAGAACAGTAAAATTAATTAACGTGCTCCAATTCCTTTGCTGCTTAGAAACAACCCAAATCGTGATCAACAGCCCAGTTCCAATAGTCTGTGCAGAATTGTTTTCCAATAATAAAGAGTGTTAAAAGGCTCAAGAGAAACAGGGTCATGAATCCTTATGAAACTGAAAACTAAGAATTATGCTGACAAGGGATTAAACAACCTCACTACGAAATGGAAATACTGTATAGGAGTCAAGTAGCAGTGAAAGTGGAGGTAACACATTTCTGGCAAGGTTGCTATAAGGAAACAGCTTCGGAATAGTGGCATACAAAGCTTTGAAGACACTACTTAAGCTAGTCCATCATCCTTTCACACTTGTACCAGCACTGAATTTCAGGCAAGCCCTTTATCAGAGACACAGGGGAGAAATCATGGCACCAACGTCTATGAAAGCTATTGAAAAGCCTGCTATGAAAACTAATGACCACTTTATCCCTTCATCAAGCAGTAATTTTGCTTGTCTGGGCAGATTGTTGGTATATATAAAATGTATACTGTTACTTCTTCCTTTTAACTGGTGTGTTTCTCTGTGTTTCTTTTTATGAGCTCTTGCCTTTCATTTTTTAAAAGTTGGTTTAAGAATAAAAGTAGGCATCAAAGGGACACACATTTCCTTGCTATAGAGAAAAATCAATACCCCCTATTTCTTTGGAGGCTAGTCTCCCAAGTTATGGTATCTATACT